CCCCCCCCATGGCTCTGCCCCTCCAGTAGTCTCCACTGGTTTGTCTGAGTTCCTCAGCACTCTCTTCTCTGCCCACCTCACCTGGTAATGCTGTAGGGAAACGGGACCCCCCATACATTGCTGGTGGGAATGTGAAATGGCGCAGCCTCTTGGGAAAATAGCCTGGTTCTTTCTCAAGTGGTTAAAAATAGAGCTATCGTATGACCCAGCAATTCTATTCCTAGGCATACACCCAAGAGAAATCAAAACATATTGAACATAGGTTATGAACATTCGTACATAAAAATTTGTGCATGAATGTTTACAGAAAAACTATTCATAACAGCCAAAACAACGCAAATGGCTATCAACTAATAAATGATTAAACGAAATGTGGTATATCCATACAACGGAACATTACTCAGGCATCAAAAGAAACAAAGAACTGATACAGCTACAGTGGATGAGCCTTGGAACGTTATGCTAAGTGAAGAAGCCAGCCACAAAAGACTGTATATTAAGTGATCCCACTTACATGAGATGTCCAGGATAGGCTCATTTATAGAGACAAAAAGTACACTAGTGATTGCCTAGGGCATGGGGGTTGAGGGGATCGAGGGTGCTGGCTAAAGGGTATGAGGTTTTCAAGGTGCTGAAAATGTCTTACGGTTGGGGTGATGGCTGCACATATCTGACTATATTAAAACCCACTGAACTGTACGCTTTAAATGGATGAATTGTATGATATATGAATTACACCTCAATAAATCTGTTTCAAAAAGTCATTGGGGAAGCCCAGTGTTAGGTGTGAACACGTTCTTGTGAGCGTTGTGCAGTCAAGTCTGGCAAACACTGCTTTGGCCACTGGGACATGAGCGAGCTGAGCAGCCCAAGGGTGTGCATGCTGTGCACCTCATGCTTCGTGGCTATTGGAGGGCTGTGAGGTATCTTCAGGAACCTGGAACTCTGCACCTTCACTTTGACGGACTCTACTGTGGCTCTTCCCTCTGGGTCAGAAGACATCAGTAGAAAGATTCCAAAATGAACCAGGCTACAGAGCTATATATTAGGCTGCTTCCTGAATGGAGCGAGGCAGAGGGAAACTAACATTTATTGAGCACCTACTATGGGCCAGCATCATCCTAAGCCAGTGAGCGGTAAGCCTGTCATTGCATTCCCTTTATTGGAAAGTTCTCATGGTCTGGGACACTAGTCTTTTTTTGTGTCCCCAGTGGCAGGTACTCTGGTATACACGAGGAAGTAGCTCACAGTGCATCGCGTACAGAAGGCACTCAAAAAATATTTGTTGAATAAGCATTTGGGCCAGTTTAGCAGTGAGGCAGCTGTTACACAGATTGTGTATTAAAATTCAGATTATAAAGAATTAACTATAACTTCTCCTTGTAGATGATTGATAAACAATGGAAAAAAAATTGAACTAAAACATTTATTCTGTTTATTAAATATTTTAAATCCAAACTAAATATGTCTATGGAATTCTGATAGGCTATGGTAGAGAACGTGGATAATTCACCAATCTGCACTATAGTTGGAAAATACAGATGCAGATAGAAGGCTGTTTTATGACCACATGTGGAAATGAGGAACAAGGGAACATGGGCGTGATTGTTTTAAAAACCGCTGATAGCTATGGATGAGATCAAAGGTTAAAAAAGCCAGCTTCTGGGCTATGATCCAAAAGAATTCATTAGAAAGTAAAACCGACACAAGAGAGCATCAAGCATTAGCCCTCTGCTCAGCAAAGGATGTGCCAGTAATTCTGAAGTCAGCCAGACAGACAACCATGGAGCAGCACCAAGCCCCGGCGGTGGCTCTGCACAGCCCGGGGCTCCCAGGAAGCCTGGGGATGAACATCAGGTCAGGTGCACGCACAGGATGCTGTTCAGAACTGATGAGGTGCATCTGCTCACACCTGATGGAAACAGCCTTTCCTCACCTTTGTTAATGGGGTGCTGATGCTTACATCACACCTGACCCGTACCATGAAGGCCACCATCATCCAACCAGAGGACTGAAAAGGACCTTCAGAGAACACCCAGCCCCGCATGTCCCTAAGTGTTAAATGCCATGTCCTCTGGTGGGACAGGGGATGAGTTTTGGTGGTACTTTGGTGGATTCGTTTCCTAAGGCTGCAGAAATGACCACTGACTTGGTGGTTTAAAACAACAGAAATGTATTCTCTCATAGTTCTGGAGGCTAGAAGTCTGAAATCAAGGAGTGAGCTGGGCCACGCTCTCTCCAAAAGCTTTAGCGGAGGGGCCTTCCTTGCCTCTTCCAGGTATTCAAAACCTTTATACTGTTCAAAACCATTCAGGCATCCAGCATACAGGTAGATGAATTACAGGTACGCAGAACTTCCAGTAGCTTAAAAATTTAATAAAGTAGGACACATGAATTGTTACCTAAAACTACTATTTAAAGTTGGAGAGAGAATTACACTTTTCAGGCAGTTTTGTGGCTGACTAGTAAGTGAACACCAGATGGGGCCAGCAGACCTGGGATCGTCCAGCTCAAGTGCTCAGCATGGATCCAACTCCTGCACACAGACACGTGCAAACCACATTCACAGTCCTTTTCTCCTGGATTCTTAGAAAATCCTTTCTTATCTGAAATGAGCTGTCTTGTTACCCTGGCACCTCTCATCAAACAAGAGGAGCCCACCAGCTCAGCAAATCGGGGTAAACAAAATGTGTTTTATGCACTTCCCTTCTATCACCCCTGCCTCTGTCCTAGAGACTGAGGAAGCCACTTGTAAATCAGTAAATCTTTCCCCCAGAAAGAGGAATAATCTGCTTTTGTCTGACACATGAGCACGCTTACATAGGAAGGCAAGTGCAAAATGCACATTCGAAGAAGCCTGCCACCTTGTCAGGGCTTGGTGTCGGGCACTTCCAGGAGAGCCTGGTTTTGCTGATCTGTGGACAATGACTTCCTCCAGCCGCTGTGTATGAAGCCTGCCCATGAGTGAGGCCACAGGACACTCTGAAAGGGTTCAAACCCATTCAAGCCTCAAGGGACACCTGCTTGCTTCTGAACCTGACCTCTGCCTAAACCTCTCTGTTTGGGGAACAAACTCCAGGGCCAGGAGAGTGTGGGCTCCCCCTCCCCCCTCCCTTCAGAGGCCTCTGCAGAGGCCTCCAGGATGCCTGCCGCGACCCATTCGTGCCGGGTGTGAGCACCCCGAGAACCGCCAAAGAAGAGCAGAAAGAGGCAGCAGGACTAGAGGAAGAAAGGCAAGGGCCAGACAGAGAAAGAGGTCCCGCGGCGCCGGGAGCAGCGCGGAGAGGGCAAGGGGCTGAGTGTACAAACCACAGGCGCTCCTGACCGAGCTTCAGTCCAGCTGGCGCTGACCCCTTGTCATTTAGGACACGAGACCTAACTCCTCACCGTGAAGTGAACTTGGACAATTTATTTTATTTAAAAAAAAATTAAACTGGCACTTTACTTGGGTTCTCTAACCAAATGGAGCCCTGAAAAGCAAAATGCCTTCATCCACAAAATTATTCGCCAATAATACCTACTCATGCAATAATAACCCCCAAATTCCAGAGCTTCAGACGCTATTCTGTTCCAGTCTCCCTCTCTCTCTCTCTCCCTCCCTCTCTTCCTCCCTCTCTCTCTCTCCCTCTCTCTTCCTCTCTCTCTCTCTCGCACACACACACACACACACACACACACACACACCCACACA